AAATAAATAAACAAGTGAAATGTAGCTATTTCAATTTGCTATAAGTATAAAATGCATATTGAATTTTTAAAAATTAGTATGCAAAAAGTAAAATATCTAATTAATCATTTTCATATTGATGACATACTGAAATGATAATATTTCAGATATGCTGGGTAAATAAAATGCATGATTAATATTAATTTCACTTTTTCAAACTTTTTAAATGTGGCCAATAGAAAAATTTAAACTACATGTGACTTGACTTGCACCATATTTCTATTGGACAATGCTGATCTCTCAACAGAAATGTGTACATACGTGCACTAAAAGTCGAGCACAAGAATGTTCACAGCAGAGTTATTCATGTAGCCCAAAACTGGAAACAACCCAATGTCCGTCAATGGTGGAATGGGTAAATAAATTGTGGTATGAATATAATATGAAATAATACTTAGCAACAAGAATGAATAAACTACAGCTACATGCAAGAACATAGATTATTCTTACAATGTTAAGAAGTCATTTCATTTGATTCCATTTATATAAAGTTTAAAAACAGAAAAACAAGCTACAATATTAGAAGTCTGAATATTAGTTAACTTTGAGGCAAATGGTGGGTATAGGGTTGAAAGGGGGCTTTGGGAAACTGGCAATGTCTTATGACCGTGATAGTTACATGGGTGGTTGTGATTAATAATTCATTGAGCTTTATATTTATGTGCACTTTTCTATATGTATGTATTCTTCACAATAAAAAAAAATTAAGGGGGTTAGTGAGGCTTCTAGCAATATATTGCAAATGATTTTAATAAACTTAAGGCCTCCTTGAAAATTAAGCTTTTTGTGATGATCTATCAATTGGAAATTGCAGAAAAGCAAATTAAGAGTTGTTTTTTAAAGACCATATTCTGTCCAGTAAGGAAATATTGATACTTTCAAAAAAAAAATTCTAGGTATGACTCTCCTGTTTAAAATTTTTAAAATCTCTGCCCTTTGCTTGGTCACTAAGCTTGGCATGACAGTTCATTTCCTGACAAATATGTCAATAATGTTGACAAAAATACTTAATGTGAGAATTGCAGAATTTAAAAGGATCATAGCTCCTAAATTTTTTGGGGGGGAGGGGAGGATCAGGATTTCTTTGTGAATCTGATGGAATCTATAACACTTCCTCTTGAAAATGTATATATGTATAATATACACAATTTAATAATGCAGTATGTTATACATAATTTTGGGTGGTTCACCGTGGCAGTTTATTCATTCCATGTTATTTGGTAGATAATGGTCTAAGGCAGAAAGAGTTCAAGAGACACAGCTGGTTAATGGAAAAACCAGGACTGGTATTAAAACTCTTAATTTCCAAACCAATCATTATTCTTTCAAGTGAAGCAGCTGCATTCCTCTTCCCCTGTGTTCCCATCTGTGTTCTGTTGCTGTCCACATTGAATTCTCATCCAATTCTGTCCTCATCCTCCCTCGCCTACTTGGGAAGAGCCTTCAGCTACCAAATTGACTCCTTTATCCCCCTTTAAAAATAATATCCCTTTAATTGCCCTGTTTCACTGTTATTTAGGTATACGCATTACCTTTCCAACTACATTGTAGTGACCACGCCATATTTATCCTTTCCCCCAAACCACTTAGAATAAGCATTTGTTGAATTAAAAGGACATGCAAATGTCTGACTGAAACGTCCCGAGAGAACTATGTCTCATGATTGCAGAGTTATTATGAATTCAGCTTCTGGTGTCAGACTGACCTAAATATGAATTTGGCCTCTGCCATTTACTAGCTATATGCTGCTTGGTGTGTGACTTAACCTGAGTCTTATGTTGGTAAATGTGATAGTACCAAACGGCCTTCGTAAGATCATTGTGGGGATTAAAGAGAACACAGTAACCTGTGTAAAATACCTCAAGCAGTGTTTGGCATGGTAAAAACTCAGAACAACATTAAGATTTCAAAGATTAAGATTATGGAACTCTAGAGAACATGGATCAAATACGCTACATGTTATAAACATCTAAACAATTGGAGTAGTCAGTTGCACCTGGCTGCCCTCCTCTTCCCATAAAATTCCATCTTAGAATCATCCTTGTTCTCTAGAAGCCTATAATATGCGGACACTGATTGAAGTCTAAGAAATATGCCTCAGAAAGTCTTTTTCAAACTGCAAGTTGTGACCCATAAATCAATTTACAGGATTTCAGTCAGAATTTTTTAAATGAAAGAGAATGGAATATAATAGAAATGATCAGAATGTTTCACAATGTAATCACAGAGAGTAAGGACTGCTTTGTGAAACTTTTCATTCATATGTAAGTACTAGATCATGATGTAAGATGTACTTCTTATTGTGAGACATTGTTCTGACAGGTTCTGCCTTTGCTTAATTTATTCCAATGATAGGGAATTGACTGGAACTGATTAAAGCAGCTCCAGTTCTTCCTTATTATTAGGTCACACCATATGGCATTGCCATTTGTAGGTCAATGTGATTGAATTATCAATAATTTCTAGCAAAATGACCAGAAATTTGCCTTTCTGTTACTTTCTGACACCTTAGTTCAATGTCCACTCTCTCTTTTTCCTATATGACAGCCCTTTAGAAATAATGGGCAATTAAGGGTGAACATGATATTCTGCCTTAATGCTTACATGCCTGTCAAAGGGACAACAAAGATACAGCTTGAAAAGTATGTGTATACTTTTCAGTGTCAAGGAAATAGAAGAATGCTTCAAGCAAATGGCTTAGCAGAGGGAATTCCCAAAGAATAATTGAGAGTATAGAGAAGCACAGTCTAATAGAACTTTCTATAATGATGAAAATATACTTCATCTGTACTGTCCAATATGCTAGCCACTAGCTACATATGGTGATTGAGCACTTGAAATGTGGCTAGTGGCATGTGACTGAGGAAGTGAAATTTTAATTTAACTTAAATTTAAATGGCCATGTGTGGCTAGTGGCTACCAGAGTGAACAGAGCAGATATAGAAGAAGGGAGACAGTGGCAAGAGATGAGGCTGGAAAAGTCAGATCTGGAAGAACCTTGAGAAGCACCTTAATAATTGTAGACTCTATCTTGAGAGCCATAGGGAATCTTGGAAGGGTTTTAAGTTCCAGGCAATAATACCATCAGATAGGAGTTTTAGAAAGATAATTCTGGCTGTCTTGGGGAGATAGGTGGGAGATGGGTAGAGGCATTGATCTTGTCTTTAGGAGTGTGCTTTATAAGGGGAGAGATGAGAACAAAAGAAACAGAAAAGTGACTCAAGGATATTTCATAGAAACAAAGAAGTATATAGCTGACCGTACCCAGTCGAATAGAATACTCACATGTATATGTGTATATACATATATATTTATGTACATCATACATAGTATTTGTTAATAGTAGTAACTCACATTTCTAGCTTTTTTCCTAGTTGCTTACTGGGCATCAAGCCTTCTAAGTATCCTGGGGTACTTGAGCTCACAAGTAAGTCTGTCAGCCCAGTATCCATGCAGCATCTACCTTGTTCTTTCTCCTCTCTGTATATTTATTCTGCTCCTCACATGGTCTTCACCCTGAAGCTACTGTGTGGTCCTGCCAATGATCCCAGTGCTCCAAAAGCCATTACTACTTAAAGTGCCAGAAATACATTCTGTTCTCTGTGGAAGGGGGAGGAACACCCGGGCAACCTAAGATGCAGTGCGTGGCTCATCCTCCCCTTTACCTTCAGAGCATTTTCTTTAACCAGCTTCTTCTGTTTGTTTGTTTGTTTGTTTGTTTTTTCTCTAACCCCTCTAAGCCCTGCCTATGGGGTAAGACAAAACAAAACAAAACAAAATGCCAAAAGTAAGTCCCCAGGAACTGATGTTGGTAAGCTGCCATTGGGTCTCCCCTAAAGAATTTTGTTTTCTCCTCTCTAGGAACCAATATACACATGTGTGCAAATCATCTCCCCCACTTCCTCCCTGACCCACACCACACAAGAGCACATACTACGCACGACGGCCTCTTCAATAATTAGCACTTCAGCTGACCTATCCATACAAGGCTGAATTCTCTTCAGGATGGGCCAGCCCTCTTCCTATTCCATGTATGTTCCTGCATAAGAAGTGTACAAAGAAGTACATAAGCAATCACAGCTCAACAATCAGATGTTCTACTATGTATGGAGCTGGAGCAATAGCTTGGCATAATGTGAAGTGCATGAACTCTGGTGGATTCACATCTCAGCCTGGTGACTTTTACTAACTGGGTGGTCTTGGGCAGATCACTTAACCTCTCTGAACTTCAGTTTTCAATCCTATAAAACATCATCTTTTGGAAGTTTTAAAAATTAAGAATATATTATGTGCAGTGCCTGTACCTAGAAGGTGCTCAATAAATGAAAGCCGCTATTGCTACATTGGTGCTGGCAGCTCAGGACGCCACTTGTGAAGGGGCCACAGAAGAAAGGTCAAAGCGCCACAACACCCTGATGCACAACCAGTAGGGTCTTATTAGATTACAGCTGAGGGCTCACCTAGCATAGTTTCCTTATTTTATGGATGAGGACACTGAAGCCAGAGACAGGACGTGACTTGGTCGGGGTCACACGGCGAATTAGCAACAGAGCCAGGTGTCTCAGGAGAGATTCAGCCCAGTGCTCCTTTTTGTAATAAGGCAGCAGACTCTCTGCTGCCCGCAGTCTGCTCGGATCTGCCCGTGTGTCACTGTGATATGACAATTTGTGCTCATGTTCTGCACCTGGCGTCCCCTCCCTAGATGGGCAAGAGCAAGAGCAGGAGATGAGGTGTGTTTCTGATGAAGGCCAGACCGGTGCAGCCTCTCCCGTCGCCATGGCAACCCCAGCTTGGTTGGGGAGGACCTGCTCCTCCAGCGCCCCCTCCTATTCACGCAGCGGACGTGACACGTGCGGCGGCAGGTCACGTGTTGTTGTTGGGTCGGGAAAGCTGCTTCCGGGTCAATGCAGGACACTGGGCTCCCGCGGCCGGGGTGCGGGACGAGGTGAAGCGGAGCCGGGCCGGGCCGGCCGGGACCAGGCCCGAGGCTGAGCGGCGGCCGGGAGGGGGGAGGCGAGGCGCAGCCGGAGGAGCCGCCGCAGCAGCTCCCCCGCCTCCCGGGCTGAGGGGTGAGTGGAGCCGGGCCGGGCCGCCGCTCTGCCGGGTTCTCGAGGCCCGAGGCGCTCCCCTGCGGGGCCGAGGCGCGGAGGGCCGCTCCTGGGGGGCGCAGAGATGGGAGACTCGGGGTACGGCTCAGGGCGAGGCGGGGTCTGCCGGGAGCAGCGGTGGCGACGGGAGACCTGCTCTGGGTCTAGAGGGAGGATGGGGCCTGGCCGGGGCGGAGCTGGGAGGGCCCTGGGCTGGGGGAGGGAGGCTGGTCCCGAGTTGGAGGAGAGTGTGGGGGAGCCTGTCCCAGGGCCTGGGAGAATCCAGGCTGCTCACCGTGCCGGACTTGGGGGATGGGAAGATGCTCCCTGGCTAGCAGGAGACAGGGACGTGTCTGGGCTGCGGGGGAGATAGGAAACTTGTCTCTGAACTACTGAATCCCAAAAAGGAGGACATGTCCGCAGGGAGGTTTGGTAGGGAAAAGAGGGGACGCCAGGCCTGTTCCTTCCACAGTCTGATAAAAGGATGTGGTCGTTTAATAAGGGTTTTGGGGATGAGAATGAGAATGAGGGGGTTGGAATAAGATGGGGGCTGGATGGAGGGTAGCCTGTGCTGGGATCTTGGTGGGGGAGTAAGGATCTGTATGAAGCTTCTCTGTTGAGAATGGAGAGTGCAGAGATTTAGGTCTTCTACTAGGAAGACATTCTGGAAATCCGTGAAGGAAGGAGATGTAATTCTGTCTTCTTTTGGGACATAGTAATTCCAGAAGTTGTAGTTGAGCAAAGTTGGTTGCAAGTGTTGAGCTGTCTACAGTGAGTGGAAGAAGGAGGGGTGCTAACTCTGAAGTTGCTAAGCTACAAGGAGCTTGCAGGCACCGCCCAGCGCTGTTTGGAGAAGCTCCCAGTGCTTTCAAGTTCAAATACAAGTTTAACTGGGCCTTGTCCCTGTTCACTTTATGGAGCTATGAAGCTCTTAATTTGGTTTCCACCAGTCCATCTTGAACAAAGAGATTATGAGTAGGTGCTGAGTACTAAGGAAAATGTTCAGCCTTTGAGTCCTGGATTATTAGACCTAAACTTCTAGGGTAGTAGCTTTCAAAATTTTTAAAAATCATGTCTCATAATAAGAAGTGCATCTTCTTACATCATGATCTAGTACTTATATATAAACGAAAAGTTTCACAAAGTAGTATTTACTCTTTTTTGTGTGATGCATCCTGATAATTTCTATTATATTTCATTCTCTTTCATTTAAAACTGCTGACTGAAATCCTCTAAATTGATTTATGGGCCACAATTTGCAGTTTGAAAAACACTGTTTCTGAGGCACATTTCTCTGGCTTGAATCAGTGTTCCCATATTGTAAGCTTCTAGAAAACAAGGATGATTCTAAGAAGATGGATTATTATGGAGGGGGGAGGCAGCCAGGTTTGCAATTGACTGCTCCAATTGTTTAGATGTTTATAACTTGTAGCATATTTGACCTATGTTTTCTGAAGTTCCATAATCTTTGATATCTTAATATTGGCTGATTATTTGATTGAGGAAATTGTGTGTGTGTGTGTGTTTATTTTCTCCATACTTTGCTGTGTCCGAGAAATATGAGAGACCTAGTTCCATATAGTTGCTTTCTCACTACAGCATAATTAAGAAAGTTTTATTTTACTGTTCCAGTGCTGTAAAGATACATTGATTTGATTTTCTGCTGTTTAAAAATATCTCAAACTCTTCTTACTCCAGTAATCACTGTATAGTATCCTCTTTGCTACATGATTAAAGATATATGTTTGTGGCTTTAGTATATATTTTAAACTCAATCATAAACTTAAGTATAACTTTGAATCAGTCAGTATTTTAATTCTCCCAATGAAAATTTTAGGTGAGGTCCTTAGAAAAATAGTATTAACTCATAATAAACATTAATGACTGTTGGGGAACAAAGTGAGAGCTCTTCAAGTGTTGCAATGTTAAAGTCCTTTGAAAAGTTGTCATATAGCTTATTGCTGCAAGTCATTGAGTGCCAAATGATGTTGCCTAATTTCAGTAGGTAAATTTATAGGGTATGCATTTAAGAGCAGTTTAATAATGTTACTTTTTGTTGAGGATTAGTTCATATTATATTTGTAACATGGAATTCAAAGGCACAGTCATCAGGAGAGAATTGCCCAAATTAAACTTCATCAGTGGGGTCACATTCTTAATTAGATGTCTTATGAAAAGGTTCTATCATCTTCAAACTTTGTGTCTTATAAAATACATCTTTTTGCTTTTAGCTATTGACTCTATCTTGGTTACTGATGAGAGGGGTTATGTTGGCATGTGTCAGCTATGCTTTTAAAATGATCTCTTTTGATCAAGTAAATATTATTTGTTTTAAAATGTTGAGCTTTAAAGAAAGTTTAAAAATTTTGTCTTGTGCTAGGTGTTTGGAACATTAAGGAAGATTCTTATTAATTTTATTTTTCTGGGAACCCTGTGTACTTGTCAATAAACAGATATGGAGACATTACCCTGAGTGATTGTGTGTGCTTTTTTATAGTTTTCATTTCTTCTCTTGACTGTCAGACTGTTAAGTATGTCTCCATCTATAGTAGACCCTTTTCCCCTTCTGGTTTTTGCTTACAAACTGCTATAGGTTTGCAAATCAGATACTTAATATTTGTTATATAGTACTTTTTTCCCCCCTTTTCTTAGTGTGTGAACTATGTGACATGTATTTTGGCTACTAAGAGGCCAAGTTACTGGCCTTTTAGTCCTGTACTGTATTTTTTAAATAAATGAGCTATTTATATATTTTAGGCCTAGTCAGCTATATAAGTTCTAAAAAGTTACATGAAACTGATGGTGGTACAGTTTTGGGCTTAAACAAGTTATTTGGTTTTGATTGTTGCCTTGGCCCTACATGTGATTGGTCATTAAGATTTACCATTCCTCCCTTTTTCAGGTTACCCTGTTCTGACTTTTATTTCTTTCTCATTAGAATAGTAATGCCCTAACTATTCCTATTGTCTGTTTCTTGCATAGCTTCATGTGAGTACTCTTCCAAAGAGTATTGCTGGGATTATTTCATTTCTCTCTTCAAAAACCATTAGCTGTTTTCTAGTGCCAGCACTGAATAAAGCCCCTACTGTTTAGCTTGACCTTTAAGGCCTTCTAGAACCTTTCTCTCCTTTTTTTTCTGACATCGTCATTCCATTGCTAAATGCAGATCCTCTACCTGCCAGGGCTGCTACTCATCATACCTTCCTTTGTGTGTAGGATTATGCCTGAAAGTCTCTGCACAAAAATGTGTTCCTTTTCTTCCTTAGATCCCACTCATCTTCATTTCATTTCAGATGACCCCTCTTCTGTGAAGTCTTTCATGCTTGTATTGTCTGTCTACTTTTCCTGTATTGCTCTGTATTGTTTATATACTTTATTTTTATCCCTTTTAGATTGTAAACACCTCGAGGACAGGAGGCTCAAATATTTTGGAATCTCTAGGACGTCCAGCACGGGGTCTACAGAGCATGGTTCATAGACCAAGTGAGTCAAAATTGACTGAACTTACAGTTAAAAATGCAGATCCCTGAATTCCACTGTAGACTTACTGAATCAGGATCACTGGTGGAGCCTAGGAATCTGCATTTTCACAAGCTGCCTGGATGATTTTCTGTACAATAAAAGTTAAGAATTGCTACAAATAATAAAAGATTTAAAAAAAAAAATCACTGACCTAGCACGATCCTTTAAATTATAGTAGGTACACAAATAATTTTTGAGCAAACGATGTTAGTGAATTGAGCAATATCATAGTTCAGCAGATTGGTTTAATTTTAGAGCCTTGAAGTCAGCCTAGATTTGCATCCTGGCTCTGCCACTCAGTAGCTGCATGACCATAACCTCTCTGCTTCAGTTTTCTGATCTGTAAAATGGGATAATAGTACCCCTTATAAGAGTGTTGTTGAGGATTAAATGAGATAATATATGTAAAACACAGTACATGGCACATAGTAAACCTGCAATAGATTTCATCTGCTGTTGTCTTGATGATGACTAGCATAATATTGATCATTGTAGCAATGAAGCATTGTTGTAAGAATAGGTTCCAGGTCAGTCATTGATTTTTTAAAAAAATTTTATTATTATGGGTACATAATAGTTGTATATCCTTATATAGTACATGTGATGTTTTGATACAGGCATCCAATGTGTGTTAATCAAATGAGGGTAATTGGAGTATCTGTCACCTCAAATATTTATTTCTTTGTGTTAGGAACATTCCAATTCCACTCTTCTAGTTATTTTAAAGTATACCCTTACTTACTGTTGATAATAATCACTTTGTTGTGCTCTCAAGTATTGTTCATACTATCTAACTGTATTGTTGCACCCATTAACCATCCCCATTTCCGCCCCCCTTCCTTCTACTGTCCCCAGCCTCTGGTGACCATCATTCCACTCTCTGTCTCTCAGCTGTCATTGTTAATAACCAAATTGCTTATATGGTTTTAAGAATCCAGGCTTAAAATATTTTCCATTTTAGGCTAACAAATCATGGACCTATCTGGTGTTTAAAGTCATGAAGGTGTCTGTCTTCTTTAGAAGACTTGCCAGTCATATGAGGACATTACATTTTTCCCCTTCATTTCCCTACTACCCAAAGAATAAAGTGCAAACTTTTAAATGGAGGACATTAACCCCTTAGCATCTAGCCCCACCAGTCCTTGTTTATCTTCACCCTTCCTCCCACACATACTCCAGAGCATCTACTTTACATTTCTCACTTTATCGTACATCTCTTCAATGCATTTGTGCCTGCCCACATGCTTTCCCTTTGTTTTTAATCCAGTGAATTCCTGCTACTCTTGTAAGACTTGGTTTTCTGTGTGACTGACCTCCTTAGTGAAGATTGTCACTCCCTCAGTGTTTTGAAGTGTTTTGCCCATACTTATATATTACCTTTGTATATGTTTGTCTTCTCGGAGGGAAAAAGATTTGGTCCTGACATATGTTCCCAGTACATTGTATGTAATTAGTCCACCTGTGCTGAGGGGAGGATGTTTGTTATTTGACTCATATCAGCTCACCCATTTATCTGACTTCCCTACTCTCTGCCTTTGGAACAATAACTGTAGTTTATTGACTGCTTAGTACATGCCAGGCACTTAACTAGATGCTTTAAAAATGTCATTTAATATTCACAATGACCCTATGAAATAGCTATTGATAGCTTCATTTTATGAGTGAGGAAGCAGGCATAGAGACGTAAGTAACTTCCTCGAGTTGCACAGCAGAGTCATAATTAAACTCAGAGTTCAGCAAAGGCCATGCTTTTAATCACAGTGCTGTTCTAAAAAGAGGGGATTTAAACAGGTGACACATTTCCTGCACTCAGGATCTTAAGGCTGTGTGAAACTTTTATTATTCATTATCCCGAGGAATGTGATCTGTAACAAGTACTGTTGTGAAAAGCATTATTTAAACTAAAACTGTTCTTGGCATAATGCTTTTCCAGTGATTTTCAAAATTTTTATTTCTTCTTCTTCTGCCATACTCATTGGTGTACTTGATTTCCATTTCACTGTCAGAAGGTATTACTTCATGTCTATTCAAAGTAAAATTCACTTTTCCATTCATACAACAAATATTTGTCGCCATGTACCAGGCACTGCTCTGTATAACACTGAACTAGACTGTCACATCCCTGCTTTTGTGCAACTCATGTTCTGGTGGAGAACAGACACTAAACTGATGGTTGTGTTAAGTGCTGTAAAGAATAAAAGAGGGTCAAAATGATAATGAGTGATTGATGGATGGTGCAGTGGTGCTATTTTCAGAGGTGATCAGAAGTAGCCTCTGAGAAGGTGACATTCGTGTTTAAATTCCAGACTTAAATGCTGAGATGAAGCAATTCTGTTGAGAGCCAGGAAAAGGGTAGTTTTGTGAATGCAAAGGCCATGAGGGGAAATTAGCTTAGAAAGCCAGGAATGCTGAAGCCTAGTGGGCTAAGAAGAGTGGAAGGAAATGTGGTTAGCAAAGTAAGCAGAGATCAGATTAAAGAAGACTTGAAGACTATGATGATTTTATTTTTTTTATGATTGATTTTATTTTAAGTGTGAAAGGAAGCCATTGGAGAGATTGAAGGACATGAATTCAACTCAAGTTTCTGAGAGATCACTTGGCTGCTTATTGGAGAATGCCTTGTGCAAGAGTCAAGAGAGACCAGGTGGAGGCTTACGCAGCAGTCCTGGTGAGATGTTGATGATAGCTCAAACTAGAGTAATAGAGATAGAAAGAGTTGGGCAGAATCAGGATGTTTTGGATGTGGTGTTGATGGGGGTGTGAGAGGAAGAGTCAAATATAACTTCCAAGATGGGAATGAGTGGAGGAGGAGCAGATTTGGAGAGGGAATTGAGGGTTTTCTGTTTTTGCGCCTGTGTGCCTCTTCTGGATCCCCCTTGCCATCCTCTAAGGATACCACTATTCTGAATTTTGTGTTTAATATTCACTGTCTTTTCTTTACATTTTTTATCACATATGTGTGTGGCCCTAACAATAAGATGCTTAATTTCCATGTTTTGGGATTTTGTATAAATGGGCTTGTACTGCCTGTGTTCCTGTGATTAATTTTACTCATTTAACATTGTTTTTTAAAAGTTATTATGTTTCAGAGATAACAATTAATTGTTAATTTCCATTGCTGTGTAACGTTTCATTTTATGAATGTACTGTAATTTATCCAGTTGCCTGTTCTTAAATATAAGGGCTTATCCCTCAAGGAGTTTTGCAATTTCCAATAGTGCTGTTGCTACTACTTGTCTCCTGGTACACATGTGCAAGTTCCTGTAGGGTGTATACTGAGAAGTGGGATTGCAAGATTATAGGGTATGTTCATCTTCAACTTTACTAGAAAGAGATAAATTGTTCTCCAAGATGTTTGTACCACTTGATAGTCCCACTGGCAGTGTAAGAGTTTCTATTTCTCCAATGCTTGTTACTGTCAGAGTTTTTAAGTTTTGCTGATTTATATAAAATGGTATCTCATTGAGATTTTAATTTCTGTCTCTCTGAATATTATTGAACTTGAGCATCTTTTACATGTATTAGCCATTTGAATTTTATCTTCTATTAAATATTCATGTCTTTTATCCATTTTTCTATTGGGTTGTTTATCTTTTTCTTACTGAGTTCTTTGTTTCAGTTACATGTATTACAAGTATCTTTTTTTCCAGTTTCTGGCTTGTCTGTTTATGATTTAATGTCTTTTTAATGATCAAAAGTTTTTCATTTTTTATGGTAACTTTTCCTTTATGGATTTTGAAATATTTTCCTAAATCAAGATCATAAAGTTCTTTTCTGATTAGAAGAAATAACTGTTTCCTTCTCAGGGAGATAAAGTTTGCTTTCACATTTCATCTGGAGTTGAATTTTTTCTGTGTTATAAAGATTCAATTTCATTTTCCCCAGATTGTTATTCACTGTCCTAGCACCAATTATTGAATAGTTTAATCCTCCTGCTGATCTTTATACCACTTTCTGCTGTTTTTACATCGGCCTATTTCTGGGCTCTGTTCATTGGTCTATTTTTCTTTCCTCAGAGTTATTTTCCTTAACAAAGTACAGTTGATTCTTGTTACTCATAGTTTTTTTTTTTTTTTACATAGAGTTGCCACAAATAGTGAATTGGTGACTATGGAGCCATTACTTCCAAGGGAGATAGAGGGTTACATTCCTGTGAGCCTCTGGTCATAATGTTGTCATCAAATGATTAATATATAATCTTGTTTTATATGTGTTTCTGTTTCAGGACATCTTATTTAATATATATTATCCATTCATTACTGTTGAATTCGCTGTGAACAGCACTGTAGTTCATGTCTGAATGAGGCTATCTAACTCCTGCATTTTCCCTGTAAAGCACATCACAGCCTCCTCATGCTTTAGAAGCACCAGACAACATTTCAACACTACCCTTGAGGGTCATTTTAAACAGTGAAATCGCCAACAAAAAGCACAAAGATATGAAAAACCTGTCACTAAATAGACCATGAAAAGGACACTTGTTTACATTATGAGAGCTGAAACAAAAAGGCAGAGTGTCACCTCACCACCTTCAGCTCTCTGACTTAGGTGGGAATATGGGCATTGAGAACTCAAATTTTTTGTCACTCTTTGTGTATCTGCAAAGGACCACAAAAATGCTGCAAGCATTTATTTTGGGATAACAAATGTTTTTTCATGGGGGCAGTAACATAAATTTTAGCATATAGGTGAATTTGCAAATATAGATATGGATATTCTTCATGAATAGCCTCAACCTTTAAAATGCTGGGAGAAAGATAGTTTTTAGAAAACCATTAGCGTTAGCACTTTCCTTTCCCTCTCATACCTACACACATATCTTTGTAGCATGTCAAGAGAATAATTTAACACAATGAATCTTTCAAATACTAAGTGTTTTGATTGGCAGATGCCATTACCTCAATAGCCTTCTTTTTTGAGAATAGTTTTATTATATTTATGATCATGGTATTATTTATTTCATAGGTATGTGTTTGAAGCAAATAATTTTAGGACAGGATTATAACTCTTAAAATGTTGAAAACAAGTCTAAATTAGTAAACCTTTATTGTAACTCTTATGAGGATCATATTTTCTTGTAGACATCATTAATAACTTAAAGCATGAGTTTTATAAAGGCAAGTATCCTTTGGAAGTTGAAATTTAAATATTAACTCTATTAGTCCCTCATTCATTTAGTGATATTTTTTCTAATGAACATTAGTAAAAGATTCCAAGAAAAAGATAAATGAAGATTGTATCCATCATAAATCACATTTCCCACAAAAGCACTTATTGAGACTTCGCTATTTTATCCCTCACTCATAATTTAAGATCCTCAAGTGAATTATCTGCATTAATTTGATAAGTGTGCTGTGAGAGTAAGAACCAGGAATTTTGGACTTGGCCTATATTCATCTTTTTTAATATAGCTCATACTTCATTCTTTTATTTTTTTAAATATTTTTATTGTAAAATATACATAAAATATACCATTGTTAAGTTTACAGTTCAGTGGCATGAAGAACATTCACATTGTTATGCGACTATTGCTACCACATATCTCCAGAACTTTTTCATTTTTCCAAACTGAAATTCTATACTCATTAATTAATAATTCCCCATTCCCCTTGTCCTCCAGCTCCTAACAACTGCCACTCTACTTTCTGTCTCAATGAATTTGACGACTCTAGGTACCTTGTGTAAGTGGAATCATACACAATTTTTTCTTTTGTATCGACTTCATTTGGCATTCATACATGTTATAGCATGTGTCAGAATTTTCTTTCTTTTATGGCTGAATAATATTCCATTGTATGTATATACCACATTCTATCCATCCACCTTTTGACTACTGTGAATAATACTGCTGTGAAAATTGGTGTGCAAATCTGTTCAACTCATGCTTTTAGTTCTTTTGGATATATACCTAGAAGTGGAATTATTGGGTCATATGGTAATTCTGTTTAATTTTTTGAGGAACTGCCATACTGTTTTCTATACCAGCTATACCATTTACCAACAATGCACATATATTCATTTTTAGTTACTGAGCAGTGCCTGTTGTTCTGAAGTAGTAAGTCTTACATATGAATTGTAAGGTATAGTAGGGGTACAAAAATCATATATTCAGTATTAAATCTATTGTGGATGTGGTTTTTGCAGAAGAATTTAACTTGTGGTAGGTAGCAAGTATTTCCAATTCTGCTACTGGTCCTTTACTTCATCATGTCACCGCTTACTTTCGGGGCCCCCATGGAGAAGTTGACGTAATTACTTATCCAGCTGTAGCTATGAAGAATTTTTATTTATAAAGTACTTTGATTTCATATTTTATTAAATGTATTTGATATACACAGTCAGAAGTGATTAGAAAACTTATCAATTAGCACATTTACTGGGTGCCAAAGTTTAGTGTATGATAGATACAAAGAAGCATTAGGCTATGGTTCTTACCCTCAAGAGCTATACAGTTTGAGGACATAAGATATAAACACATGAAAATTATATCACTGTGTATGAGTTCAATAATAATGGTATATGGGACAAAAATGAAAAGGTGACATACCAATATGTGATTGATTAATTGCCCACTGAATGTTTTAGGCGATAGATACTATGAGCTCAGTTCAAAGGAAACATCATTCTGGCAAGACATATCTGAGGTTTCATCTCTGAAGTATATTTTGAGTAGGGTGTTGAAATATGCATAAAATTTAGATGGGTAGAGAGGTAAGGGAAAGATCTTCCAGTTAAGGAGGAATAGCTTTATAATTGTTAGATATTTTTACTGTGCTGAATAATTAATTGGCATTAATTAGCATAGTCCTGGGATCTAAACAAATTAGATCCAATCTATTTAACAAAAATTGCAAGTAAGCCCTCCACCCTATATTTATGTTACTGTGTTCACTGGGTGATGATGGTAGTAGTAGTGGTAGGGGTAGCAATAGCAGTAGCAATTAAGCTAATATTTATTCAGTGCTTTCTGTGTGCCAGGCACTGTGCTAAACACGTTTTACCTGCATTATCTCCATCCATTCATTCTTCAGCAACCCTATAAGCTGGGAGTTAAGGACTGTTACCCCTTCCTGTGGAAGAGGAAGTGGAGAGACTTGGAAAACTTAAGTTACTTGCCCACAGTCACACCAAGGAGTGGAGTCAGTCAGAATTTACATCTAGCCAGGCTAATTCCAGAACCAGCACTTATTACCATCGGGCAATATTGCCATAGCACTAAATATGGAAAGTCATTTTTAATGACTTTCATAACCTTTCTGCATGGCTGAAGTTTTAACATTGTGGCAATCCCTGGTTATTACCCAGAGTGGTTTGTAAATTCCTTTGGAAGGCTGCAGAGTGATGAACTAGTGGTCTGTTCCTAATGAGGCTTTCCTTAACATGATAGCTTCTGTAGCTGCTCAAGAGCAGAGATAAAGGAGGAATCTGTTCTTCAAATAGCTAAGTAATGACCTTACACTTGTTTGTTCATAATGGAAAGAAAACGTGCATATACAGTTTCCTTCTGGTGAAACTTAATTTATTCAAGAAAAAATATTGCTTTTTGAAAGTATGGAGAAATTGAGAATAATTTTTTCCCCTTTGGTGACTAGACCAGTCAGTACTGTTACTTAGTGTTTTGGTTCAGTTACTTTGATGTTATAAGAAGTATTTTGGCTGTAATGGTTT